ATGCATCCACCATATAGCCCTGACCTTGCACCATCAGACTACCATTTATTTCGATCTTTGCAGAACTCCTTAAATGGTAAAACTTTCGGCAATGATGATGCTATAAAATCGCACTTGGTTCAGTTTTTTGCAGATAGAGGCCAGAAGTTCTATGAGCGTGTAATACTAAATTTGGCAGGAAGATGGCAAAAGGTTATCGAACAAAATGGCAATTATATATTTGATTAAAGTTCATTCTAAGTTTTATTAAAAATGCATTTACTTTCTTTTAAAAAATCCGCAATTACTTTTTGGGAACCCAATACTTTGTGCAAGCAATTCATTTCACATTTTTTTTCTTAATGTTTTTCTTTATTCCGCTTTATTTTACACTCTCAATTTTTCGTTCGCTTCGTGCTTTTTAATATTTCTAAAATAGAAGCACTATGTTTATGTAAAGGAAGGCCCAGCTTTTATTTATCTACTTTTTTATATAAAATTTTACATTTGATTCATCAACTCTATTTTCAAAATTTAATCTAAATAGATATCTTATCCTTTTCACTATCATCGAAGTCAATCTCAGCGGCTTCTTCTATACTCACTCACTTTGTGTCTAGGAAAATGAAGAATATATTATCAATAAGATTCTGGCCAATACCTTTTTGAATTTGGTTCATTTAAGATTGAATAAACTTTATAAAGCTTGGCATGGAGTGTTAGCATAAATAAAAACTAAAAACACGAAAACAATATTTCTTCTTTTCGAGTCATTCTTTTTTAAAGTTGGCATCATTGTGTTATTTACTTTCGCTCCGCGTTTTTTGTGCGGGGATCTTTTCTGCGATAGACATTGGTAAAAGTAAAGTGACTAAGAATTTCCTGTAATCTAAAAGACAATGTAAACTTGCTGTTTTAGTGCAGTTGTCAAGATCAATAAAATAGTGTGAATATTTGGTTAAATAAAGTGTTAGAAGTAAAACTCGTTTTGGAATTTGTTTCCTCATTTACGCTGCAATAAGTACCACTTTAACATTAAAAGTGCGGAAGAAAAAAACCATAGGACAATTGTCAAAGATTTGTACCGATCTGGTAGCGCAGCTTTAACGAAGTAGACCACAGAAACGAAAAACAGCGAAAATGACAGAGTAGTTTAATAAATGGTGAGTGAATGGATTTCATTTTTGCGTGTTATTGTTAATTTTTTTTAAATTAAAATAGTAAGTGGTTATAATTAAATACTTATAAATAATAAAACTTTGTAGTGCAACAATATTAAGGGAGATGAATCCAGTGTATATGTTTTTCGAGCTTTTAGCGTTCTTACGAAACGATGTGGAGTGAAAAACGTCCATTTGCATTCCTCATATTGCATGTCTGACGTCTTGTTCCTATATTTTTTTCTTTGCCCTTCGGAGCTTTATTTCTGCTTAGAATTTATATGCTAATTAGTGTCCCCTAATCTCATCAATCCATAGAGATCAAAGCAATTACCCTGCGCATTCACAATAAAATTGATTTGTTATTAAACACGAGCCACCCATTTTAATTACTCGATACTACTCGATACTATAGGAATTGTACTTTTTAGATGTGCTCTAGTAAATACATCCATACGAAATATATAATACACAATTAGACTAATTTGGGAGAAAATTGGGTAAACGATAGTAGCAAAAGCAAAGTTAATAAAAAAAAAAGACGGTTTGTCTTTGTTCCATGACTTGTGAACCATTGATTTCACTGTCTGCTGTTTTTTTGCGTTCGCATGTCGTTATTTGCGTCTTCACAAGAGTTCATGTGTGCATAACTTTTCAAAAAATTGTACAAAGCTTTTCATACACCTATACATTCTTGTATGCACATATGTATGTAATATGCATGTGCACATCAAAATTTGGTAAATTTCTTGTTAAAATCTTTGTTGCGCTTTTGGCAGGCTACAAAATGTGAATAAAGAAGATAGAAGCAATAATCTGTGTATGTGCGTATTTTTGGGATATTAACCTCTTTGGAACTTTTTTTTAAACGAGGTACAAAACAAATATTTTTGTTAAATTTATTGGCTATTATTTTTCAATACATTTATTTTTACCGTTTTAAGGGTTAAAAATACCGTTTTGTATATATTTTTACACACGTGTGCTTATTAATGTATTATTATAACATTAGAAAATACAATTTTTTTATAGAAATAATTGAAATAATAATTTATCAAATTTAATAATGATAGTTACTTTGGCTATTTGCAGAAATAAAAACTCAGTAGAAGAAAAATAATCGAAAAAACGAAACACCAAAAACTGAAAGTGTAACTACACATTTAAAAGGTAGGTAAAATGTGCAAAATATATATATTGAAAAATGATTACGTTAAATATTTATATGTAGTATTGTATCACATATTAAGATCGGGATCAAGAACAATTAAAACCCTAACTAGCGGCTACTATTATGGAGTTTTACATATTTGGCTTCTAATGGATTATGAGTTCTGATTATGTTAACATTAGTTACATTATACTAATGAATGTATCTTATTAGCTTTAATTTCTTTTGTGAGTTCCAATTGGAAAAGATTCTGCTGCTTGCATTCTGATATTTTCGCATGATCTAATTGTCGAGACAGCTTGATTGTCACTGAAAGTCTAATCAAAGAACTCGCTTATTTCAAGATAAAAGTAAGGTTATATTTAGAATGTTTAAGTTGACATAAGGGAGATGATTTAAATTGATAATAAGAATATTTAAATTGATAATAAGAATATTTAAATTGATAGAGCGAAAATGTAAAACAAAAGCTGAAGTTGGATTGGAAATTTTATATTTATTAAATATAATGCGTAAAGAGATGAGAAGTAATTGTGAAATATTAACAATGATTTCACCATTATTTCGTTTATCGTTGGAGCAACTGTTTATTTTAAAATATATTTGAATATTGTAAACTATATTTTTTTATTGAAAAAGAGAAGTGTGTTAGTGTGTGTATAGTTTTGCTGCATATAAATAATTTTAAATTTAGAGCAAAAGTCTGCTACTTTATATACGCCTCCGAAATTTACATAGTGGAAATATTTATTTGAACAAAAATGAAAAAAAAAAATTGCCTAAACAGATATGTACTAATATATTTTAGAACTTCAACTTCAAAATTTCAATATAAAATTATTTTTCTTTTTCATCTAATTAATTTCAGATGGGGGACGTTGATCCAGAAACGCTCTTAGAATGGTTATCTATGGGCCAGGGCGATGAGCGCGATATGCAATTGATTGCTCTAGAGCAATTGTGTATGCTCCTACTTATGTCCGACAATGTAGATCGTTGCTTTGAAAGGTGAGATGTTGTTCGAAAACCGATTTAATTTATTCTTTAACATAAGTATATTTCACATATTCCTTCATAATCTTATAAATTTCTTTTGATAATCTATTTTTTTTTTTTTGAATAGTTGTCCTCCACGTACATTCTTACCAGCGCTTTGTAAAATATTTTTGGATGATCTTGCACCCGAAAATGTTCTGGAGGTGACAGCTCGTGCTATTACATACTATCTTGATGTATCAGCCGAATGTACACGCCGCATTGTAGCTATCGATGGCGCAATCAAAGCCATTTGCAATCGTTTGGTTGTCGCCGATTTGTCTTCGCGCACATCACGCGATTTAGCCGAACAATGCATAAAGGTATTAGAATTGATATGTACACGTGAAGCAGGAGCCGTTTTTGACGGTGGCGGTTTGAATTGTGTGTTATCTTTTATACGTGATTGTGGTTCACAAGTTCATAAGGACACATTACACTCTGCTATGGCGGTAGTGTCGCGCCTTTGCACCAAAGTCGAGCCGAATGCGCCATGCATTCCGAATTGCATAGAAAGCTTAAGTACACTGTTACAACATGAGGATCCTATGGTAGCAGATGGTGCACTCAAATGTTTCGCTTCAGTTGCTGATCGTTATACGCGCAAATGGGTAGATCCAGCTCCTTTGGCGGAGTATGGCCTTGTTGAAGAGCTATTAAAACGTTTGGGCAATGCTGCAGGTCCTGTTGGCAATGCCTCAACATCGACAGCTGTCAGCCCTGGTGCGACTACAGGTGCATTAACATCAAACACCAGTACTGGAAGTGTTGGTCACAATGACAGTGTCAATTCTGTTTCTTCAACAACTGGTGTACAGAATAAACCAAACCAAGGAAGCGATCCCTCAAGAACTTCACAATCGATTTCAACAACAATATCTTTGTTATCCACGTTATGCCGTGGCTCACCGTCTATTACGCACGATTTATTACGCTCACAATTGCCAGATGCAATTGAACGCGCTCTGAAGGGTGATGAACGTTGTGTTTTAGACTGTATGCGTTTGGCAGACTTACTCTTGTTGTTGCTGTTCGAAGGACGGCAAGCATTGAATCGTGTTGGCACAACTGGTGGTGCACAAGGTCAACTAGCATCTCGTGTACGTCGTACTGATTCGAGCGCTGAACGCACACATCGCCAATTAATTGATTGCATACGTTCAAAGGATACAGAAGCCTTGCAAGAGGCTATCGAAACAGGTGGTATTGATGTTAATTGCATGGATGATGTTGGCCAGACATTACTAAATTGGGCTTCTGCATTCGGCACACTTGAGATGGTTGAATATTTATGCGAAAAAGGCGCTGATGTCAATAAGGGGCAGCGCAGTTCATCTTTGCATTATGCCGCTTGCTTTGGTCGTCCGAGTATAGCTAAAGTGTTACTGAAATACGGCGCCTATCCAGACTTGCGAGATGAAGATGGTAAGACACCGCTAGATAAAGCACGCGAACGTGCTGATGACGGTCATCGAGAAGTGGCAGCCATACTACAATCACCTGGTGAGTGGATGGCTGCTGGTAATTTGGCATCGAATAAAGATGGCGCAGACGATAATGGCACATTAGAACCACGTGGAGATCCGGAGATGGCACCCATATATTTGAAATTATTTTTGCCCGTTTTCTGCCGTACATTCCAGGGTACAATGTTAGGCAGTGTACGACGTGCTAGTCTTGGTCTTATCAAGAAAATGGTACAGTATGCACAGTCAGGTGTATTGAAAGGGCTCTGCGAACCACAACTGCAAGTCGAGTCAGTGGCTGTTACGGGCACAAACGCACAAAATTTGGGAACCCTATTGGTCGAAGTCGTGGCTAGCGTGTTGGATAACGAGGTTTGTGCTAAATTTTGAATTTTTTCCTATAAGTTTGTCGCTTTTACAACGGTGCATAAACTAATTTTAAAAATATTCTGTATTTTGTTCTTTTATTATTTCTACATTTCTTAAATTGTTGCATTTTTTAATCAGGACGACGATGATGGTCATCTTGTAGTTCTTAATATCATTGAAGAATTAATGAGCAAAACTCAAGATGAATTTTTGGATCATTTTGCTCGTCTTGGAGTATTTTCGAAAGTGCAAGCTTTAATGGATCCCGAAAATGAAAATGATACTGCAACGACAGTTCTTCTTGGCGCTACGGCTATCACAGCGCCGAGTGTAGAGGACCATTTACAACAAAGTGGCAGCAGTGGAATAACCAGCTCAGCACAGTTGCAACAACAAACAGCAGCAACTTCAGGTATGGTACCTGCACATAATAAAAATTGTTTTAGCCAATTAATTGCAATTTTTTTTATGAACTTACCCAGATGATGCAATGGAAGATGCTAAAGAAATTCTACAAGGCAAAGCATACCATTGGCATGAATGGAGTATTTGTCGTGGTCGCGATTGTTTGTATGTGTGGTCCGATTCAGCAGCGCTAGAGCTTTCGAATGGTTCGAATGGTTGGTTTCGTTTCATACTCGATGGGAAATTGGCTACAATGTATTCGAGTGGCAGCCCTGAAAATGGCAATGACAGTTCAGGTAACTGAAAATCAAAATAAACATATTTCAACTTGTTAAAGTTAAAATATTAATAAAAATATTGAGCCTAAACTGCCAAAATAAGTTAAACCACCAGAAATAAAATTCAAAGATGTAACTATTTTTCAACATTTTAGCATTTAGTACAAAATAAAAATTAATTTAGGAATTCTTCCTAATTATACATATTTTACTTTTAATAATGACTCATAGGAGTATATAAGTGTGAATGACTTGAAATATTTTGGCAATTTCGGCGCTATATTTTATGTATCTAGAAGTGCGCCTATAGGGCACTAAATGCAAGTGAAAATTTCCCCTCTAGAAGTGACTAGAAAAAACCAAAAACCATTGCATGGGTGTAATTGTTATCTAATTATTTGCCCTCCAATAAAATATAATACAGTTTTTAACAGTCTATATCCTACATACCAGTTGCTTACTTTTTTTTTTGTTATTTAATTAATGTGCGAAACTGCTGAAGATATAAAATATTCAAAGTCTTGGTGCGATTTTTTTGGGCTTAAGCAATTTTTTTTATACGTATTGAAAATTGAACTTTATATATCTTTAGGCTGTATACTATTATCATTTGATTTCAATTCATTAAAAACAATACACCTATCTTTGTACGCCATAGGAAGGGGTCGTGGCATGGATTCTGTTACTAGTGAAGGTGAGAGAATTTTGCCGTTATTTTTCATTTGTTTGTTTTTCATTTCATCTTAAGCTTTTTGTTGCTTAACTCCGAGCATTTGCGTGTTATTTATATGTTTTTTTCCTTTAATTTTGTTTGTAAAATTTTATTTACGTTTTATTTGATAATAACTGTAATATATTTCTAATATTTTGTCCGTTAAGGTTAGAATGTGCGTGGTCTCACAATTGTATGAGTTGCGTTTAACTTTTACCTTTATTCATTTACACACACTACTAATACACTAGTTGAAATTGTTTTGTACTTTTTATTAATTTTTTTTTACACACGTGAATAACATTTATTTCGATTTTTAATATCATATATTTACAATAAAAAATGGTCAATCAATTATTAATTGAATCACATGGGGTAGTTTAAACGATGTGAATACACATTTCATGAAATTTAAAAAATATATATAAAACGGAAAAAATCTGAAAGCAGCAGAAAAGCAAGATGAGATAAGTATTTCATCATCAGTTCAAGGTTAAAAATATTTGAATCGTAAGTAACAAGAAATATGTAAATGATATATTTCAAAATATCCTTTAACAAACTGGTTTCAGAAATTTATTCGGGCACTCACTCATAAAAATAGTTTTTTTTTGTACGTTTTTTGTGTTGAATTCGGGTCACATACAGGTAAAATATTTTATTACAGTGGTTTACTAATCTAGTAGTAAAAGGCGAAAAACATACATTATATACAGAGAATTTTTTATAATCTTATATTCAACGTATTCAAAAATATTCAGATATTTTTAATTTAAGAATATCGACGTATAAGCAGAATAAAATAAATAAATAAAATAAATAAATAAATAAAATAAATAAATAAATAAAATAAATAAATAAATAAAATAAATAAATAAATAAAATAAATAAATAAAANTATTAAAATAAAATATAATAAAGTAAAATATAATAAAATAAAATATAATAAAATAAAATATAATAAAATAAAATATAATAAAAAAAATAAAATAAAAAAAATTAAAACAATACAAAAAAAAATTAAAAATAAAAAAAAATCAAATAATACAAAAAAAAAATAAAAAATAAATAAAATAATTAAAAACAATAAAATAAAATAAGGAAATAACATAAAATAAAAATAAATAAAATAAAAAATAAAATAAGAAAAATGAAATAAAATAAAATTAGGAAATAACATAAAATAAAAATAAATAAAATAAAAAATAAAAAAAGAAAAATGGAATAAAATAAAATAAAAAAAAATAAAAAGTAAAAAAATTAAATAATAACATAAAATAAAAAAATTCATAAACAAAAAAATTACATAAACAAACAAATAACTTAAAATAAAAAATAATTAAAAACAATAAAATAAAATGAAACAGAAATAAAAGAAATTAAATAAAAGAATGAAATAAATAAATAAAATACAAAATTAGTCTTTCACAACGGAACTCATTGTATAATATGCGATTATAAAATTTTGTTAGAAAAATTTATTAATATGTTAATGGGTTATACGCAGAAGTAGATTTTGTAAAAATTTTAGTACGATGTGAGAAATTGAGACATCGACGATTTTCAATTTCAAAAGATATACTTTTGTAGATATGTATGTATTAATTCTTATACTATTATTATAAAAACCAATAAATAGCAGCGCGTACAGTGTATTCCAAATTTCTATGGTCTTAGCATGTGAACGATACACATACATACAGCTGGGAACATGAAAATAGCAGTACCCATTGCACAAAAACTTGTATAAATTCATACAAAATGTGTTCAACAAAAGCAAAATATTAAAATAAACATACAGCTGCGGTCATAATCTTAGTAGCGCGTTGAAAGGTCTAAATCAGTGGCATTTCCCCGCTAGCATATGGAAGCATGACCTACTGCATGATTTGCGCGTATTAAGCAGCATTCATGGTCTCCTTGATCCAAACTCCATACCACGAAAACATGCCCGTTTTAGTGGTATATTTTGGTTTACGTGCGTTTTTGGGAGGACGTCTTACAAACTGCTGTGAACCTTTTCCACCATAGCGAACAATTTTTGACTCGTCAGACCATAAAATGTTACGCCATTTGGTCAAAAGCCCAGTCAAATGGTCTTAGGCGAAACTTAATCGTTTGACCACATGTTGTTCAGTAAGCAAAGGCACTTTTCTGGGGCTCCGAGCTGACAGATCGTTTTCCCCATAAGCGTCTGCGGTGAGTTTCAACGCTGACTTTCACATTTAGAGATTTTTTATTTCGGTGGCAGCCGCAAACTGATATTGCTTGGAATATTTTACAGCAGTATTTGTATTTTATAGCGTTTCGGATCATCGTGTGGGAGCAACCTATGGTGTTTTGCACTTCTCGGTAGGTTTTTACTTCTCCAATCAGCTTTTTAATAAGAACCCGTAACTCCGGTATACAATTCTTTTTTCTTGACATCACTACATGCAGCTTGATAAAAATTTCCACTTTATAAAACAGAATACTGATAACAGAAATAGTTTTACCGATGCTTTAATTTTTTAGTCCCAAAAACAAAAAGAATTTAATTTTTTTGAACTATTTTTTGTTGCGCTACTAAGTATTTGACTGATCAAAAACACATTTTTTCGCAAAACTTAGCCGATTGCAATAACAACAATAATTCTAGCTTAACAAACGAATGCATATCGTCATGTCGGCGTCTTAACGGTATTTACAGTGAAAGCGAAAAAATAGTCTGAAATACAAATTTATGGTGACTTATATTTAATTAGCAAAATCACTACTAAGATTTTGACCGCAACTGTACATTAATATTATCTAGCATATCAGTAAAATGTATGCAAAAAAAATAGTTTTGAATATAACTGTAAATTTGAGTTTTCAATAAATTTGTCATATCTTTTATTTTCTACTAAAAATATGAATTCGTTTGAACAAAAAAAAGCAAAAGCGGCTCAAATATTGGTCTAGTAAAGGCTAATCCATTATTTTTGCATAAAATTGAAGGCATTATTTACCATAGCTTTTATATATAATAATATTCTTGGCCGCGTCGTTCCGATATAAAGACCCGACTGTCGCAGGAACTATTGGATTTTAATCGCTCCTTACGACAGGCAAGCCTTACCGCGGATAAATTCTTGAACCCCTAACCCCCATCAAATTTAGCAGAACAAAATCAACAAAACCAAAATTACGCATTATTGACTGTTAGAGTATCTGAACCATACAAGTTATTCACATTTTCAACTGGCTGGCTTATGTTTTCACCTCTATCGAAGAAATTGCAAAATTGTAGAATATAGCGTATTTTCTCTTTATTGTTGTCCATCTTTGACATGTGCTCAAACACTACAGCGTGATCAGTAATAATGTATTACTTTTTACTAGACCTAATATGATATTATGATTGTAGTATTTCTGTTAGGAATTTCGTATACCGAATTTCAAATGCTATTCGCATGCTCGTCAAAACTGATTTCGAACGCAATAAATTTGTAGAGATTAAGCGAAAATCATCCATACTACTGCTATTTTCATGTTCACAGCTGAATATTCATGAATTACCTGTTTGAAAGGATTTTAAGTGTTTCGTAAAATAAAATAAAAAATAAATAAAATAAAAAATTAAAATAAAAAAATAAAATAAAAAAATAAAATAAAAAAATAAAATAAAATAAAAAATAGAATAAAAAAAATAAAAAAAAAAATTAAAATAAAAAAATAAAATAAAATAAAAAAATAAAAAAAATAAAAAAAAAATAAAAAAAAATAATAAAAAAAATAAAAAAAAATAAAAAAAAAACTAAAATAAAATAAAAAAATAGAATAAAAAAATTAAAATAAAATAAAAAAATAGAATAAAAAAAATTAAAATAAAATAAAAAAATAGAATAAAAAAAAATTAAAATAAAATAAAAAAATAGAATAAAATAATAAAAAAAAATTAAAATAAAATAAAAAATAGAATAAAATAATAAAAAAAGTTAAAACAAAATAAAAAAGTAGAATAAAATAATAAAAAAATTAAGAGAAAATTNAAACAAAAAAAAAAATAAAAAATTAAAATAAAATAAAAAAATAAAACCAGAAAAATAACAACAAAAAAAATAAAAAGGATTTTAAGTGTGTCGAAAAGGCTTGAATTCTACAGGAAAAATGTATTATAGAAAAATGTTTCTGAAGGTATTTTTAATTTTACAAAATAATTTTTTGCATTTTCCCTATATTTTATTTTAAACTTTCATTACTGTTTGTGATATATATAAACATAATCATACATACGTAAGTATTAAATAACTAAAACCATTATCCATGTAAATATAGCATAATATGTAGAGCTTAATTCAAGCGAGACACCTACTCGAATTGATTATTTCTAGTGTGAAGAGTAAAATTAGCGTAAAAAGATGTCCACTGTTTAGCAAATCTTTAACTCATTTCCTTTTTTTCCTGTCTAACATTAAAAAGAACTACTAAATTTTCGTTTGTCAATTGTTATTTGTTTATTACACACCTTTTTTCATATACATAATTATATATATATTGGTATCGCTACACGAGCTCGTTCGCTTCACTAGCTAAAAGAATTGAATAGTAAAATAATTAATAATTAATAATTTTTGCAGTAATATTTTTATTAAAGCTCTACATACTTATCTATATGTATCTATATGTTATCTATTTTTTGTTTTTGTTTTTTTACTCTGTCATTACAGAAAATCGTGGTGAATTCCTCGAGAAACTGCTACGCGCCCGTTCAGCTGTACGTCCGGGCACACCATCTCAACCAATTTTACCCACTGTAAGCGTGTTGCGTTTGGTTGTTGGCAATTGGGTGCTGCAGTCGCAAAAGCCCAACCAACTACAAATACATAATACCGAAGGCCATCAAGTGACCATATTACAAGATGAATTACCTGGTTTCATATTCGAAAGTAATCGTGGCACCAAACATACTTTCACCGCCGAACACACACTTGGCCCGGACTTTGCATCTGGTTGGTCGACGGGTAAGAAGAAGAAAATCAAAACAAAAACCGAAGTGCAGAAGACACAAGCAAAGAATTTAGCACGCGATCTATATAATAAATACTTCAAGGCCGCACAAGCAGTGCCACGTGGTGCTGTCGCCAAGCTAACATCAATTGTGAAGCAAATCGAGGTTGCATTGGAGGAGCAACGTTTGTCGCCACACTCGAATTGGCAAGAAAAGTTACGTATGCCTTTGAGTGAGCTGGCACAGCTATTACATGAAGATGGCGTGGTGAGTGCCTATGAGATGCATTCGTCGGGGCTGGTGCAGGCTTTAGTTGCCGTACTGTCGAAGAATTACTGGGACAATGGTTTATCACGCAGTAAGACAAATAAGATGCTTAAACAGCGCATTAATATATTTAAACAATGCATTTTTGAGGCGAAATTGTCTAGTGGCGAATTACGCAATTCCACAGCCAGCATACTTGTGCAAAAGTTGGTAGCTGTTTTGGAGAGTACCGAAAAACTGCCAATTTACATGTACGATGCGCCTGGTACCACTTATGGTCTACAAATTTTAACAAAACGTTTGCGTTTCCGTTTGGAACGTGCGGCCTGCGAGACCACGCTCTTCGATCGTACTGGACGCACCTTGAAAATGGAACCATTGGCTACTGTGGGTCAACTGGCTAAGTATTTGTTGAAAATGGTTGCCAAACAGTGGTACGATATGGATCGTGCTACTTATCACTATCTAAAGAAGTTACGTGAACATCGTCAAGGCATGGTCTTTAAACATCATTATGATTTCGATGAAGAGGGTCTCATGTTCTATATCGGTTCGAATGGCGGCACGTGTGAGTGGGTTAATCCCGCACAATATGGTTTGGTGCAAGTAACTAGCTCTGAGGGCAAAACACTGCCCTATGGCAAGTTGGAAGACATACTTTCGCGTGATAGTGTCTCTGTTAATTGTCATACTAAAGACAATAAGAAGGCTTGGTTCGCTATTGATCTGGGTGTTTACATAATACCCAATGCATACACTTTACGTCACGCACGTGGTTATGGCCGTTCGGCATTGCGTAATTGGATGTTACAAGGTTCAAAGGATGGTGCCACTTGGACAACACTCGTTACACACAACGATGACAAGAGTTTAGTGGAGCCCGGTAGCACAGCTACATGGCCAATAGTGTGTTCGCCCGATGAAATGCAAGGTTTCCGTCATATACGTATACAACAGAATGGTCGCAATGCGTCGGGTCAGACGCATTACCTAAGTCTGAGCGGTTTCGAGATCTATGGACGTATAGTGAGTATCTGCGATGATATTGGCAAAGGCGCCAAGGAAGCAGAGGCCAAGATACGGAAAGAACGACGTCAAATACGCGCACAACTTAAGCATATAACAACAGGCGCGCGCGTAGTGCGAGGCGTTGATTGGCGCTGGGATGATCAGGATGGTTGCTGTGAGGGAACGGTAACGGGCGAAATACACAACGGTTGGATCGATGTAAAGTGGGATCATGGTGGACGTAATTCGTATCGTATGGGCGCAGAGGGCAAATATGATTTGAAATTGGCAAACTGCGATAATTTGTCAATGTTCGAGGGCGGCAATTCAATTGCACCAACAACAGCAACAGCAGCCGTAAGCACAACAGGCGGTGTAGCTGGCGGCAAGAAATATGAAAAGTCCGGCACGCTTACTTCGCGTAAATCCAGTTCTACACCCTCACTGCCGGAGGCCACTGAAATCAATCGTAACACAGAAGTGCCTTCGGATCAGGCAGCGTCTGCTGATAACTTAGCATGGAAACAAGCGGTTGAAGCTATTACTGAAAGTGTCTTTAGTTCGGCCAAGACACAAATGCTCAACTCAACTACTAGCGCTAGCGGTGATGATGGCGATAGTAGTGGCATGGGCGGTTCATCAACAACTGGGTCTAGTGGTGTGACTCTACTACGTGAGCGTGAAAACATTGCCGACCTTTCAGCCATCAACAACTCCATGCAGGCTATCAATGCTAATGTTGTCTCTGATTTGGCTACAATTACCGAAAATTTAGTATTGACTGAAGCGAATACGCCCAATATTAGCGGCAGCGTATTGAGTTCCTCATCCGGTTATAGTGGCTCGGGTGTCAGTAGTAGCCGTAATGCATTGGCTGCTATTTTCGGTAATTCTGGTGTCGTGGGTGGTCAGACAGGTGGCGTATCCAATACAACAGCCACGTCCTCACTTCCCGCTGGTTGCCTGCTACGCAGTGTCTCGCTGCAGCAGAGCGATGAGCCGAAGTCGACAAATATCGAAGCCAATAATAAAATGAATGCTAATAATTCAGCAAGCGCCAGTGGCAGCATGGGTAAGGGACTATTGGTCAACCTACGCGCTAACACATCAGCTGGCCAACGTGTTTCGCAATTTTCATCTGAGGCGCTGGAAATGATCGATAAAATGCGCGATGGTGTTGATATGATACGCAACAACACTAACAATATTCTTTCTTCGGACATACTTTCACTGTCTGCTGCAAATTTGATGACTTCAGCTGTTAAATTTTCCAATGTCACTGGCAAACCTGAAAGCAGTGCTGATCAGTTGAACACTAGCTCTACAGATACTTCCGCCACATCTGTGGTCGTCGATTGTAATACTGCAGCCAGTGATAAGTCTATGCGTCCTCCTGAGCTGAAAGTGGAGCCAGAGAAGCGTAGCAATATTGAATTGACGGAATATAAGAACCTTTCGGGCATGCCGAGCGTCCCCATAACTACAACACGATCCTCCAGTGTTAGCGATCAACAAGCACAACTGTTACAACCACCACCGCCACCGTTACTAGAAGTAGAGCAGCAAAATACGGTTGATTTACAGGCCACCGATACAGCGCAACAACTTGGTGGCTCTGCCGATAATGTTAACGTATCTGTATCTAATCAAATGAGTGTTAGTGTGCCCAATCTTACCACAACATCTGTTTCGGAAACCACATCACAATCTGAGGTGTCTAATCATACTGGGCTTTTGGAGACTTTTGCAGCTATGGCAAGACGTCGCACCTCGCAAGGTACTACCAATCTTCAGAATAACCAAATGATCAGCTCCAATGCGAATACAAACGAACGGAATAACCAGAGTGTTGGCACCAGTTCTTTCTTCCCGAGAGGACCGAATTCGGTTACGAGTCTTGTAAAATTGGCTTTGTCCAGCAATTTCCACTCGGGCCTATTAAGCACTGCGCAAAGCTACCCGAGTCTTTCGTCAAATAATGCGGGTACGTATTTGATTTTTTTCGACCTTTAAATTCCTTATATTTCCTTATGTTTATTTACTTTGATTTATATTACAATAGGGAATAGTGGAGGCTCAAATAACGGAACGGGCGCTAATGGAAACTCTACCGCAGGTCAGCAAGTGCAAACATCTATAAATCCTGCACTAACAATGAGCCTCACGTCAACTTCGAGCGATAGTGAACAAGTTTCGTTGGAGGACTTCTTAGAGAGTTGCCGTGCTCCTGCATTACTTGGTGATATGGACGATGACGATGACATGGACGAAGACAATGACGATGAAGAGAATGAAGACGAATACGAAGAAGTTGGAGTAAGTCGATTGGTAATTTTGTTGCAATTTCAATGCACTTTTTTACTTTTTTTGTTTATGTGATGCTTCGGTTGTATGTTGATTTGACTTATCACCATATTTCTTTTCTTCAATTCATTTTCCTTTAGAATACTTTATTGCAAGTAATGGTTTCTCGCAATCTGCTAACTTTCATGGACGACGAAACACTGGAGAATCGTTTGGCTGGTGTAAGTAAACGCAAATCATGGGACGATGAATTCGTACTCAAGCGACAGTTCTCTGCGCTAATCCCAGCCTTCGATCCTCGCCCTGGTCGCACCAATGTTAATCAGACCTCAGACCTCGATATACCAGCACCGGGTACCAGTGCTGAGGCATTGCGCCAGCACGAACATGTGCCGCTACCGCAGCCTGTACTTTCGTTAGTCCTACGTGGACCTAGCATAGGTGGTGTACCAGATGTAGAAATTGAATTATGTAATAGCGAGTGGACAATATTTCGCGCCGTACAAGAGCTTTTGCAAGTTTCTCAGCTAAGTAAAACGGACAAATTTCGCAAAGCCTGGGAACCGACTTACACGATTGTCTATCGCGAAGTAACTCCTCAAGAATCTGTTATCGGTGGCATTGGTGGTACCGTTGTCGAATGTGATGATGGACCCAACACGCCAGTAGTGTCATCCAAGAGTGGTGCTTCTACACTCTCACCAAACTCACCGATACGTGGCGAGTACACAACCTCTGAGAACGTTACCTGTTCCGTAGATGATGTTTTGCAGCTCCTCAGTCAATTGAATGCACTGAATCAAAAGGAAAATGTCACAGAGGGTGCAGTAGCAACAGCTATTACTGCTGAACCAACTACACCTAGTGTAGGCAACTTGCCGCACGAGCTCTTTATGAGTAAGAAAATCACGAATAAATTACAACAGCAAATACAGGATCCATTGGTATTGGCTAGTAATGCCTTGCCAAATTGGTGTGAAGATCTCAATCAGGCTTGTCCCTTCCTGTTCCCATTCGATACACGTCAGCTATATTTCAATTGCACTGCTTTCGGCGCATCACGCAGCATTGTCTGTCTGCAGTCACAGCGTGATGTTACTTTGGAGCGTCAACGTATGCCCGGACTTAGTCCACGACGTGATGATCAGCATGAGTTCCGCGTAGGCCGTTTGAAGCATGAGCGTGTTAAGGTACCTCGTAATGAGAATTTACTCGAGTGGGCCATGCAAGTTATGAAGGTGCATTGCAATCGGAAGTCGGTGCTTGAAGTAGAGTTTGTTGGCGAAGAAGGCACTGGTTTGGGACCTACGTTGGAATTCTTTGCACTGGTAAGATTAATTTATTTATGATTTCTTTTCTGTTTCTAATAATTTCAATTAAAACATCTATTCAAGGTCTCAGCGGAATTACAGCGCACCGATCTGTGTATGTGGCTTTGTGATGACGCCGATCAAGAGTTACACGATAAAGCTAGCGAACAAACTAAACATTTAATCGCCAGTGATGACGTTAAACCAGTTGGGTACTATGTAAATCGTAGAGAACATGGTTTGTTCCCTGCGCCATTGCCGCAAAATTCTGAAATTTGCGATCGTGTATCGAAATATTTCTGGTTCCTTGGCGTATTTTTAGCAAAAGTGTTGCAAGATATGCGTTTAGTGGATTTACCACTTTCAAATTCGTTCCTAAAGCTATTATGCCACAATAAAGTGCTTTCACGTGGTGTACATCAAATTCAATCGAATCCTGTCTCGGAAGATCCCATGACCTCGTCAGTAGTATCAGAGGATTCTGAATTGGCCGAAACTTGCTCGAAATTATTGAGTGGTGTTGGTGGTAATGGCAACAATGAATACAATGCCGACACACGTTGGTATGATGGTATTTTAACGTATGAAAACCTCGCCGAAATCGATCCTATACGATATGAGTTTATCAAAGAATTGCAAGAATTAGTTGCAAGAAAACAAGCCGTGGAGAGTGATGCCTCGCTAACGCCTGATCAAAGACGTGAACAATTAGCAACTATGAAATTACGTACTAAGCGAAGCGAAGAAATTGATTTGGAAGATTTAGCCTTGACATTTACTTATTTGCCCAGTTCTTCTGTTTACGGTTATCCGTATGCTGAACTGATACCGAATGGCGCCAATATTGAAGTTACGCTTAATAATTTAGAAGAATACTGCGATCTGTTGATAAATTATCTTCTACAAGATGGTATTGCAAAACAGCTGGAAGCATTCCATCGTGGCTTCTGTGAAGTGTTCCCACTTAAGAAATTGGCTGCATTCAGTCCAACCGAGGCGCGTATGATGATTTGCGGTGAGCAACATCCGCAATGGACGCGTGAAGATCTCATCAACTACACAGAACCAAAACTTGGATACTCCAAAGATAGGTGAGTAGAGCAGAATAATTTGGTGAAAAATTTTTAAAATATTGAATGTCAATCCCTTTATGGAGAAAAAAAGTTTGTACCACATTTTGGATTTTCGTTCAAATCGTATTGTATTTGATATTGCCTAAACGGGGTTAGGTTGCCGAAAAAGTGATAGTCCTTAACCGGATTAACTCCAGTGTGTAAAAGCTAAGCGAATACCGATTGGATTTGGGCGACTTTACCCGCACCACTATCTTTACCATTCAACCCTGCCAAATGAACATAGAAGAATGAAGCTGGCAGAACAGATAGGAGATTCGACATTCTGCATCATGAATCATGAACGACGGCGCTCCCATCAGATTTGTGGGCAGTTGCCACAGCTCGCCTGATATCACAAATTGCTAGCGCTTGTCTGATAAATGTGGTGGGACTGAAGTTCTTCTAATTTCTCCTCTGGCGCAATCAAGCCACAGTCAGATTGTTGTCAAATCCGACGAGATTTAATGACCGAGTGGATTTTTTATTCGCTGACTTTCGGCGAAGTCTTTTACGTAGCACCTTTCGGTTGACAATGAAGTGACAAATGGTCCACCGTCTGTGCAAACTGTCAAATATCAGCGTGGCGCTCGATTTTCCCAGACAAGACGTTTAGAGGGTATTAGGAATCCAAAAGCCTCCACCTCCATAAGCTCCTCCACAATAAGCATATTGCTGCTGAAACATTTGGGTTCAGCGGGAGAAAAATAACTCACCAAGGTACTCAATTTGTCTCTGACCACGCTGACTATTCTCGATATGTGGAAACCAGGTAGAGCGATCCTGCTCCTCAAATCGGGGAAATCTGTTAACAAGGAAGACTCATATCGGTTGATATCTCGCTCTTCACCACTAGCGTAGACAATGAAGACCTCCTCCCTGCAGGTTAGGGGTTCAAGAATTTATTCGCGGTAAGGCATGCCTGTCGTAAGAGGCGATTCAAATCCAATAGTTTTCGCGACATTCATTTACGACTGCATACAATTTCAGTGAACTTTTTAAAGCTGCTTTATAATTGTCTCTACTTAATTTATTTATTTATTTATTTTTTTTTTATTAAATTTTGTATTAATTTTTTGAGATGCTTCTTTTCTTACAGTCCTGGTTTCTTACGTTTTGTCAATGTATTAATGAGCATGACAGGACCCGAGCGTAAGGCGTTCCTACAATTCACTACTGGCTGTAGTAGTCTACCACCAGGCGGTTTGGCTAATTTACATCCTCGCTTAACAGTTGTACGTAAAGTCGATGCCGGCGATGGCAGTTATCCATCGGTAAATACATGCGTGCATTATCTAAAGCTGCCCGATTATCAAACCGAGGAGGTAATGAAAGAGCGTTTACTAACTGCAACAAAAGAGAAAGGATTCCATTTAAATTAATATACACATTACATACAATATGTGTTTAAATATTTTACTTACGTCTCTATATTAATTTTAAGCATTTTGCCGAAATTTCAAATTTGGCGTTAAGATTGTTAGGGCGTTTCTGCGAGTACGATTTTCAGTTGTTTGGTGATAAAATTGTTTTATCTTTTATCTAATTTTTTATATATTTTTTTTTTTTTTGCTGAGTTTTTCTTTTTGATGTATAAAATTCGGGAAGTGTAACTTACATATAAATAATTATACTCATAATTAAAAACAGAAAATCTGCTTAAAAAAAAAAAATGGCACATGAAAGAAAGTCAACAACGACACAATATGTTCACTTTTGTTTTGTACCCAATTGCAAATGTGTAATGATGATGATTATTAAACAAGGCAAACAAAGATGTGTGTGTGTGTATGGGTGTGTGCGTGTGTGTGTGTATATTTAAAAGAAATATGTATGTAAAAATAATATGGTACACTAAATTAATTGCAATCAAGACAAGCAAATCCTAAGCCATTCGCCATTCGTTTAATGAACTGAATTGAGCGTGCTTCAAATATCGCATAGTTAGCGAGCTTATGCCACATTTTTTAAGATTACACTAAGAAATAGCATGAAAGTTGCAAATTGTATGCGACAAAATGAAGAATTTAAATCTGCAGATATCAGTGGCCTGTCATAATATGTATGTAAATACAAGTGTTTTTTTCGTATTCAAAAAAAAAAAAAAAAACAAAAAAAAAATTATAATTAATCTGTTGAAGATAACTTACGCGTACATATATACAATATTATTCATACATACATATTAAATTCATATAAAATTAATTACAATACAATATTACAATATAATCGCTATTAAATCATTGTGTATCTTTAAGTGAAGAACAAATTACATATGAAAAATAAAATATACATATAATAAACAAGTTAGATACCAGAATGTGGCAATAAACAAACCTGAATGCACTTAAAACTTGTTGGTTAGGAAAGCGATAGCAAGCAAATATTTATTGAACATTTTTTTATATGCTTGCCGTAAAGGTACAGTTATTCATATATACAAAAATATATACCTTATGAAAATGCAATATAAAATTCAACAAAATGCAACTATTTTTGAGAGATTTATCATGTTCGAGCAACAAGTTTTGAACTATTATCAAACCTTCTTTAAGTTGGCTAATAAACATGTTTCGTTTCGTCATTTACCAAATTACCAAAGCAAAGTCTTACTTACAAAATAACATATAAATTTCATGCTCTATTTTTTCATATTAATAAATTGAAAAATAAAAATAAAAAAAAAAAACGTGCGAAAATCAAATCGATGGCTAAATATCATTAATGAATTACCCACAATTTAATAACCACCAAATCATATAGTATAACATATACACGTACATACACACTATATTTGATGTAGTATAATAAACATATATGAGCAACTTAGAGATACAGCTTTTCTAAAGCACTATGGGGCAAACAAATGAGAGTATGAAAGTGAAAGTGAAAAAAGAAACTGGCGCAAGAATTCGCGTGTGCGCGTCTTTAATATACAATTTATAGAAGAGAACAACTTTATATTGATAATAATGATAAAAGATATTTACAACGGCTGAAAATGTAATGTTAAATGCAAAGTGGGAATTACAATAGGACATAATACTTATATATTATATGATACATATACATATGTATAAACTATACGCATTAAACACACAGTGCTTATTGATAAAAATGTTGTTTTAAAAGGAAAATAAAGTGAGTACAGATTCATACGATGAAATTAGTTTGATAATGATTATGATGATGAATGGCAGCGCGAAAGCATATTGCATATTCAGCAAATAGTGAAAAACAAAGATAAAGCCATGCTTAAAATACAAATACAAATACAAAAACAAATTAAAATTAAATTGTATCACAATGTTATTAGACATTTTTTCTGAATAATTTTAAAGTTACTCTCTTGAATCAAATAAAATCTTAACGGTAGTAAAATATAATCATTGTGTTGTGTTATTTTTTCAAACATCAAATAACTAAGGCTAAGGTTTTATTGTTCCTTTTTTCGCTGTTTAGCGCCAATTGGAAATACTAAGTACAACCATGTCCTTCTCTACCTGGTCTTTCCAACGAAGGGCACACCGGCGGCGGGTACTGCATCGAAAACCATCAAAGTTGGAGTATTTTCATCCATCCGTACCACATACGATAGCCTGCACTCCTTCACTATTTATACGATTGCAACTGCTACCAAATTTCTGAGTTGCAACAAAATCGTCAAACCGCTTGCCGGTAGAGCTTGGGGAAGAGCCAAAAAGGCGTTGCTAGCTCGATCTAGGCGCATGGGACTAGCGGGTCACACTTGAAGAAGCTAAAAGCTTACCAGTATACCGCGCTGAGAACTGTAACGGGAGACTTCCTGATGTCGCCTTTGCAATACTTACACAGTGAAACATCTATGCTTCCGATCAGAACGGCTTGCACTTGGCTGTAACGATTTCATACAGCAATTTAGACAATAATCGCTTGACAGTATGGCATATCAACAGGTTTTTTTCGCCATTCACCGGGGGTCTTTCAACAGATTCATGAACTCTCTTCCGTGAATGATGTTATCGGAATCCAAACATCACCTATTGCAGACCAAAATCTTGAGCTGCTTTGAAAGATACGAGTAATACTGGCACAATCCAGACTTGGCCACGACTTACACGACTTGCACGGCACTAACAAACTCTGTTTCCTGATTCGCTGAACTATGTTAATGGGTTTTCAAGCCGACATTGTTGTTGGTGTTAATACTGGCTCCAAGATAGATAAAGTTATCTGTGACTCAAAAGTTAGGACTGTCAACATTTGGCGTGGAAGCCGAGTCGCGAATGCGATGACTGTTTGTGTGACAGAAGATATTTCTTATTGCCATCGTTCACTATAAGACCCATATGCTGCGCTTATCCGGTCCGGAGAAAACAGAACTGACGGCATGATTGTTGAGGCCAATAAGTTAAAAAAGTCACACGATAAAAAATCCTTACTGATCCTGACGGTGCTTTTAGTTTGCTTAAGGTCAGTTTACATAGGCGCATAAGTTTTGCGAAAATAACGAATTCAATCGTAGCGGCGTAAAGGTAGCTCCCATTCGTGATTTCGAAGGCGGCTTTAAAATCGTCGAAAAGGTAGTGTGTATCGGTTTTTTCCCAAGTTTGGCTTATGGTGAATATTTGGTGAATGTCTAAAGCCACACTGATAAGTTCCAATCAGTTTGTTGACGGTGGACTTTAGTCTTTCATACAAAACGCTTATTTCACGGTAATTGGCGCAGTCTGTGGGGATGGGCAGAGCGTGCTTTAATTCCAATCGTCGGGCATGCATTTGTCCGACTATATTCTGCAGAGTAGCTGATGCATGCACCATGTCACCGCCATGGTTGAATAGCTCTGCCGGTAGTCCATCAGCTCTAGCCTTTTGTTAATTTTTAAGCGGCCGATTGCTATTCTTCGAACTTCGTCATGGTCAGGTAATGGCTTCGGGCTCACCGTCACCAAATTCACTGCCATTCTGCAGTCTGTCCATAAATTCAATATATCTTGGGCCTAGGTGGTTAGATCCCCTCTTTGTGTCACACAGCAGTCTGCTCCGGTCTTGAAACCTTCTGCTAGCCGTCGTCTCTCTTCATTGATTTTTCGAGGATTACCCTTGTCAGCCAGCTTCTTAAGTTCTTCATACTCACGCATCTCGGCCTCTCTCTTTTTTTTTTGTCTGCGTCTTACTTTCCTCTTTAATTCGCGGCATCTATCCCAATCCCGCACGTGTGGTGGTCGATCGCAACGTTGCGAGATGGGCAGTCTGCTTTCTCTCCACTATGACACGACAATAATCATTGCACCAGCTCTTTTTGAGACCTTTACGAAATCCAATAGTTTCGTTTACTTAGAGAGCTTGAAATGCCGTCCCACAGTTCCCGTATATCGAGCTACTGGTGAGTACTGTCGAACTTTCTTTGTATATGTTGACGGGCGTTCTTTGATACACAGAGGCGGATGCGTATCTTCGCTGCAACAAGATAATGATCCGAGTCGATGTTAGGCCCTCTTAGTGTACGCACGTCAAGAACACTGGAGACGACATGGTTACTATTATTATTATCATCACAACATGATCAGCCAAGTAAATTTTTTGAGCTGTAATCTAGTGCTATAAACAACCAAATTTCGGGCTCCGGCGAAGTTGATCAGCCTCAGCACATTAGGGGATGTTTCGTTGTGGAGACTGAATTTTCCGCCTTACTTCGCCGCCTATTAATTGTAATTGGCGTCCGCGGTAGCCGAGTGCTTAGCATTGCGTACTGCCATTCGGAAGCCGCGGGCTCAACCCCTCCGTGTGTATTTCTCACATGAATAAAAAAATAAAAAAACACAGCTAATTCATAGTCCACATTTTGACAAATCTAGAGCTATCCGGACTGTTTGCGTTGGTTTAAGTAGAGGCCATAGATTCTTCGTGTGTTTATAGCGTTAAGTGCGGTTATGATACTATGCCAAATACAGAAGCCATACTGATGTGCCGCTGGAGTAAGACAGGAGCCTTCTATTGTTCGCTGGCTTCCCCCGGCTCAACAGCGGAATCATACCCAGTTTCCACATATTAAAAACCTCGATGAGATAGTTTGCTCCCGCTAGACCCAGTTGTCGCCATTAATGGATTTGTTTTGATATGTGATTTCGGGTTCAAGGGCGTGAAATTTGGTATTCTACACCCGAAATTCACATAAATATCAACATTCCATTTCCATATCTATCCAAACCTGAGTCCCTGCATGACCACACATCTTGCACGCTCTCTCACTCTCGATTGAAATAACTCGCTTTTGGACTTCCTCGGAAAAACTGCTCTTAGGTGGGGTTAAGTAACCCGAAATCGATCACAATTATCTGCACAAAACTTGCCTTTCAAATAAAATAACTATATATGTATATTATTTTCTCTCATCGACCTATAAAAATAAAACCCCAAGTATCCCTACACGGATGAATCATGTATATATATGTAGGCGAAGACAATTGGCGTACTCCCATTTAATAATCACAGCAACAAAGGGGGCGCCGAAATGTAAGAAGAAGATATCTGGGGTATTTGTGCCTTTTGGCGGCGAAAAGTTAGACAAAAATGTATATGTTTTTCTAGGTTTGCCCTGGGATCGCCTTCATGTCCTATCGTCACCGTTAAGAATAATTCTAATAAATTTTCGTAAGGCCGAGGCATCAGATTCATTGAGGATTTTTCACTCTCATTGAAATTCAATAGGATAGAAAAGCTTTGCCTCCATAAACTCAACATCGCAATATTCGCCTGCTTGCTTGACGTCTTCTACAGTTTCTGGATCACAAATATCGCAATATGGGTCCGCGGTGAAAGTAGCTTTGAACACTTGCGTTAAATGGAAGCACACCTGTCCGTGTATCTTGCCTGGAGATATAACTAAATTATGTATCAGACGGTGAGTCTAATTTCCCCTTACACTATTATTCCATCTTCTTTGCCAGCGGGCAATGGACAAAAGTCTTTCAGTGTTTTTAATACGCTTTCATTTGTTCCTGCATTTTGCATTTCTTCCTACGCTGCAATGTGGAGAGTTAAAATCCCAGCAATAACTACGACTGTTTCCTCTGATACCTTGTGGAAAGGATGGCTAACAAGAAAGGCGCACCTACGATAAGTGGATTTAACACCACGCTCGTAGGATTCTGCGTGCGTACTTTTGGCCCAAGGAATTTTTGAACCGACTTTCTTCGAAATATTGATGTTTTTCCCTAATCCCTATCGTGCATATATCCATTCTTAGCACATCCAAGTATAATTATAATTGACGAGTCAACCCATAGCATAAGCCACTGGTCGTAGAAGCCTGAAACTGTGAAGGGTGTGTCAGCGTCAAGTATGGAGCCGACAAGATTTTGTGAGAAGAACCGATCTACACGAAAAAATCGTATTTACATTTAAATCGTTTGATTTGAATGAAATTTGGTATACTGTGAATATACTTCTTGTGGGGAATATATATATTTATATTGATGAGTGCATAAGTTCGTGCCCGATTCCGCTGGATGCCGTTCGAATCTTTTGAGAGTGGCGCTCGTGAAAGAAATATATACATATTATATATCGTTGGAAAGCTGACAGTCCGAACTGTAAATCAAGCATAAAATAACTTCATTTTGATTTGAGTAGCTTAGTGAAACGACAACGAAAAAGATCATATGCGTCATATTATGTTATACGAATTCCACAAAGGAAAAACAGTAGGCGCTGCAACTAAAGATATTCGCGAAGTTTATTTGGACCGTGCTCCAGCACTCCGCACAGTAAAGAAATGGTTCGCGAAATTTCGTTCTGGAGATTTTAATCTCGAAGATCAACCTCGCAGTGGACGGCGATGTTCTAGGACTTTAGTTGCGAATAACTCACGTATTTCGACGGAAGAGGTTGCCAGTGAATTGAACGTCAACAAATCAACTGCGTTTCGTCGTTTAAAAAAGTTTGGGTACACTTTGAAGCTCGATACATGGGTGCCACATCAGTTGAGTGAAAAAACAAAGTGGACCGTATGTCAACAGCAATTTCTTTGATTCGACGGATCAAAAACGAACCTTTTTTAGATCGGCTCGTGACTGGTGATGAAAAATAGATCCTGTACAACAATGTTCAACGCAAAAGTACATGGAAACAGGCACACGAAGGGGCGGATGTCGAAAGGGGGATTGCATCCGATGAAGGTACTGCTGTGCATTTGGTGGGGTATCCGAGGCGTGATCTATTTTGAGCACTTGCCAGCTGGAGAAACGATCACTGCCAACAAGTATTGTCAGCAATTGGTCGAATTGAAGAAAGAAAAGAAATTGATGAAAAACGTCCGATATTGGCCAATCGCAAAGGAGTTCTTTTCCATCATGACAACGCCAGACCACATGTTGCAAAACCGACCCTGGCCAAACTGAGATGAATTGGGAAATCATGCCGCATCCCCCATATTCACCCGACATTGCACCTTCTGATTATCATTTGTTTCGATCGCTGCGGAACAATTTGAATGGAAAGAAATTTAAAAATGTGGAAGACGTCAAAAACCACCTTGACACCTTTTTCAACGAGAAACCGCGCGATTTCTATGAATCAGGCATCCGTAATTTGGTTGAACGTTGGGAGTGGATTGCCGAACATGATGACGAATACATAATTGATTATTGATTAATAAAAGCGCTTACTTCAAAAAATTTTAAGTTTAGTTTGCACTTGAAATCGGGCACGAACTTATGCACTCATCAATATAATTATGGGGAACTCCTTTTCTTTCGGGAAAAAAGCCTGGCACCTAACTATTCGAAAAAAAAAACTTGCGAACTGTTTCTCAAGGAATTTACATATAAACATGCTGCGTCAAGTCGGAATAAAACTACAACCTGCCGCAAATCCAGACATCCAAGCAAATAAGAAGTGATCACGAGATATGTACTCCTTAAAAAGAAGGGTGATGTCCAAATTGAAGTTCTGACAGGCGACTGTCTAATAAGACGACACACAAAAACCTAGGAGCTTTCTATAGAAGATGCTTCAGAAGTTGCATGGATGATGAGGAGGAGGAAATGTCAGACATCTATTATGCGACTGTTCTGCTTTGAGCAGGGCTGGGTTTTGGCCTCCTACATTGCGCAAACAAAACTTCGCTATTTTTTCGACATTTTCTAAAACATTTGCCAGCATATCGGGAGACATCGCAGCGATTTCAGCTCGAATGTTGTTTCTTTAACTCGTCTAAGGTTTTCGGACTTTGCTTTTCAAAAAGCCTCGCAAAAAAAAGTCTGGTACTGTCAAATCCTCCTTAAAGAAGTTCCTGGGATGTCGAGTTGCTGGGAACGTCGGCGGTACGAAACATTTGGGTTCTCTGAAACATTCCGTTGAACAGTTTCAATATTTTCATTTGATCGGCGGGAACGTAGTCGATTGTTATGTTGACGGTTCGGTACAGACCCGTAAGTCCAGAGATTCGAAGCCAAGCGACCATTTTGAGGCACAGTACGGCCGATATTTTTGCCGATACGCATGCACTCAATGTACATTGTAACTATTTCCGCACGTTCCTTGGGCGTAAAGCGATACAAGGCTGAAATTGTATTGGAAAAATCTTTCCAAAAAGATTTGACTGCACGCAATCGGCTGAAATCTGTCAAAGTTATTCTATTTTTCTATTGACCACATATATATGACGCACCCTGTATAATAGTTAAAAAATTATGATAAAAATTAATTATAATTAATTAAAAAAAAAATTATGATAAAAATAAATATATAAATCTTTTTATTTAATTTTTTTTTTTTAAATCTTACGAAGTTGTGGGCAAACTCTAGTAAGAAAAAATAAAATCCAAACCCATTGCAAGTGCGAAATAAGAAAATTCGTTCTGAAATTTTTGTTCTATTTTGATTATTATTTTGAATGATTATTAATTAAAAACTTAAACAAGAAAAATATGTATGTAAATGTTTAAGATCAATAATATATAGATAATATTACAATACGTAAAACTAGAAACTGTAAGCAGGTTGGTAATTACATATAATATATAATTAAAAAAGTTTTAGATCATTTCAAATGTTTAAATTAATACAGCACTTTTTGACATGTACACATAGTTAAAACGACATACATACATATATATAGTATATAATTTTTAATGTAAATTAAAGCAAAACATATTTATGCATTTGTCATATATTGTATACATATGTATGTATGTAAACATATATATATATATATATATGTATATCTTAGGTATGCTCAAATGTTGATCTACGCATTCACGTTCACCAAATATATATTCATTATATTATTGTTTCATATTTTTATGAATGTATTTATGTTAATAACCTACGAGCTACAGCATTACATAGTACATATACATACATTAGATTCTTAAAACATGATATACTTTTAAATTTAATTATATACGTAAATTTATTTTAAAGTGATTCATTATTGATTCCATTTACATAAACATCTAGATTTACATACATATAGGCCCATATGTATTGCAGCCAGAAATACAGGCGCATATCCACCGCATTCATAGTAAAGCGTGTTTAAGAAAAATTTAATTAATGAAAAAAAAGTTATTATTACAGAGCACACGACAAGTAGACAAGTAGTACTTTTCTGGATGTAAAAGCTAAAAATTTCATATACGTTTTATAAGTTCGAAGAATTTTCGCAAAACAGCTTACAAATCTCGGTTTACGGATTTACATATGTAAAGAGTTGGCGCAGTAACCAAGTTCGTAGCAGTATTTGAACAACAATCAAATAGTTAAAGAATCTGCTCAAGGCCAGACTAACAAAAAATAAAAAAAAAAATTACGATAATTTTTTCACATTGTATGCTGCCGCCGATGACAAAGATTTTATTTAAGTTCGAATAACATACAAAGAATTTGAACATTATAACATAATTGGCGCTCTTTAAATACATATGCAAATTTAGCTGCCCATAAAACACCATTAACTGTGCAGCAGTTCAAAACTTAAGATTCCACAGTTTGCAAGATATACGTCAAGCACCAACAAATATTATATAGCGCCATTTGATTTTTTCCGTGAAAAGTGGAAAAAGTAGATTTATTCCAGAATGTACTGTACTTGGGAAATTAGCATTGAGTGCGCTTTATATATTTTTTATATATTGTATATTAATTATTACGTTTTTAATTATTAACATCTTATAAGATAATTGATAAATTAATAATATGCCCACTTGTTTATGCATATACATACATATGTTGTGTATGTTTGTATTATCAAGTACAATGCACATTTAAAAATACAATTACAAGTAATACATGGTACATACAAATATGATAAAAATATTTATTTATTTTTTTATTTTTATCATTTATACAATTATAGAGTGGAAAATATGTATGTATGTATGTAAGTATAATAATGAGAATACAAAAATTTATGTTAAATACTTAACACACAAATATTTAAATTACAAAAAGTGTCTTATAAACTTTTAAATTATATAACTCAGCTGGTTTAATGTAAATGTAGACACTACATATATAATTACATATAAATAGAAACTAATAAATGTTTAATTCATATGAAGGTGGTGCAAAATGCAGACGTCACTTGATAATTTGGTGATGATTTCTATTTAAAATATGCATTTGAAATTTTTTCTGTCTGATTCATGGATATTTGCATAACATACATATGTATATGAAGTAGCATGTAAATTCACTTGAAACTTTTAAAAACGGTTTTGTTGGCAGTAATACATATGTATAGTGCTTACAGAAAGTTTCTAAATAAGTATATTTATTCCGTTATATTTTTAGCTATTGTCATAACATTTGCTAATAACTTCTTCGTAACCTAAACGTCTTACTCCACTGCGCCGAACTGTTTTTTCTTATAGAAATAAGTTATTAAATGAAATTATTGTGCTGCCCAGTGCATAAACGCTAATAATAGCTTAGCTCAATTAAAATTAGCTCACTGGAATACGCCGTTCAGTGTTTTTCTATAAAAAAAAAAATTTAAAAAAAAATTAAAAAAAAAATTAAAAAAAAAAAATTAAAAAAAAAAAAATTAAAAAAAAAAAATTTAAAAAAAAAAAAATTTAAAAAAAAATATAAAAAAAATATAAAAAAAGGTTCAGTGTAAATAAGCTATTTAAAACTCGCAACATATTTTCGTCTTTTTTCTACGCATTTCTTTCAGCAATGTTTTCCAAAATTAATGAGTACAGCAAGATAGTACTCTTTTTCCTTGCAAATACATTTTATAGCCACACTGTGAAATTTACAATTTCAAGTATACATGCACTTGCCGTATTCATCCTTAATATTATCAAATGACGTTTGTGGTTTTTGCGCCCGTATTTACTGCTAACTAAAAGCAATTTTCAGTTTTGTCTTTTCGCGTTTTTTATTTTCTTTTGCACTCTGAATATACTTTTCACTGCCTCAGTATTTTAATTTTACTTTTTTTCATTTTTTGTTTTTTCTTTTTTGCTATTTCGAATTAATATGTTTTAAGAATCGTTTAACGCTAAAATATATAAATATGTGCACAAATAGCGAAAAAATGTAAGACATAAATTTTACTACACAACAACAAACTTTCGCTTTTTCTTCCATTTACATATGTAAAACTCTATTTGTTACTTTGCGTGAATTTGTTCTTGATTTATTTATTTTTTATTTTTATATTTTCCCATTTGATTAATTTTTTCCTTTGATTCTTTATGTTTTAATTTCTTTTTTTTTTTGGCTAATTTGAAATCATTTACACATTATGATTTATTTGTATTATTCTTTTTGTTTCTACTATTACCAATAAGCAACAAAATCGCTGCGGCCGATGAAACAGACAATATTTCCACTTTTTTTTATTTTCATTTCTTGTATATTTTTGTTGAGTTTTTATTTTAATGTGTATAAATTGCTAGTGAAGAAACAACTTTTTAAATGGTAAATGGAATTTCGTTATAAAATTTACATACTTTTGTAACATTCTATACTTGTTTTACTTCAATTACTGAATGCTCCTAAATTGTAGTTGTATATTGCTATTGCGTTTAAGAATAATGTTTACAACACAGGAAAACATTTAAAATACTTCATTTATCTTAATATTTTAGAAAATAATTATACAAGACGACCACTACGACGAAGAAGATGAAGAGTGCAATTTATATATGTAGTATATGTAACGAGAATCACAATGAAAACATGCCAAAATTAACGGCAACGTGCTTGAACGTTAGCTAATTAGAATGATTATTTGATTGTTGACTAAATGATTGACTGAGTACACATAGAACTCTTAGCATGTGTTGATGACGAATGTCTGACTCAGCCTTCAATCACGATTTTTGTTTAAACCATTTAGGTCAATCTAGCTGACTGACTGAAGATGACTGTTAAAATGTTGAATTTAAATTTTAAAATATTTAATGTTATTTTTTTTTTGCTATTGTTTTCAGTATTTTGTTTTTGCTTAAATGCACTGTATCTTAAGCGCCAATAAAAACGTTGCATACCAATAAATCTTTACACCGCTTGATCTGGTTGCCGTTCTTTGAATTTTAGTGTTTCCTCAAAAATTAGTGTTTTTAAAGTTTCCCTTGGAAGATCGTCCAGCTCCATGCTGATGCTAAAAGGCACCTCTGCAACAGGCTAATAGCAAAAATTAAGCAATAATTTTATAAATTTTCTTAATAAAGTAATAAAGATTTTAATATACCTCATCCCCCGGATCATAATACTGCTCTAGATATGGATGGGCTAATGCTTGTTCAACGGGTATTCTATTGTGCGGATTAAACGTTAGCATTTTGCCTAATAAATCCAAGGCCAGTGGATCGGCGTTGGGGAATAGTCGTGACCACGGTACTTTCGGTTTAAATGGCAGCGATTCCAAATAATTACGGGCCTAAAAATATTTTTTGGTGTTTAATACAAAATTTCTTTATACAAGTGAACATGACTACATATATACAATATATATACATATATATTGTGTATATATATATATATATATATACGTATCGTTATAATTATTTCCGTTGTACCTTTTCATTTATAATACATTCTAAATCTTCTTTTGATGGCGATCCTAATACGCCTAAAATATGATTTAATTGATCCAAATAATGTTTGCCTGGAAATATTGGCCGATTGCTAAGCATCTCCGCTAGAATGCATCCAACCGACCAAATATCGATTGACTTTGTATAACCCTTTGAGTTTAGCATTATTTCTGGTGCTCGATACCATCGGGTTGCGACATACTCTGTCAAAAACCCAGTGTGATCGTGATCTGGATCAGCTACACGCGCCAAGCCGAAATCGCAAATCTGCAAATTAAATAGAAAGTAGCATAAAGACAAGAAAAAGGATTAGTTATATGCATTATTAAGTTAATGTGGGTACCTATACAATTACTATAAAAAAAAAATATATACAACCACTATAAAAAATAATATACATATCTATATATTTAATTGAAATAATATGATTTACTCTATGATTGTTTGCTATCCAGTTTGATAATGATTGCTGTAAATCGTTGTGTTGAAATTACTTCACTGAACTCACCTTAAGATCACAAGTGGTATTCAGCAAGAGGTTGCTTGGCTTCAAATCACGATGCAATACATTTGCCGAATGTATGTATTTTAAACCACGCAATATTTGGTAAAGGAAATAACAAATGTGATCATTGCTAAGCCTCTGTGGAAATAAGTTATTCATTAATAGAATTAATTATAATATATATATATATATATATATCTTTCAAAATATATGCACATACCTGTGTTTTAAGTAGTTTGTAAAGATCAGTCTCCATTAAACACTGTACAATATATACATCCCTCATCTGTTCTATGCTATCTACTCGCAAAATATCTCGAATATCAATTATCTAAAAGAAAGAAAAAAACAAAACAAAATACATATGAACGAATGATTAGTAATCACTTTACAAATAAGGCAGTGAGGTGTTCTATTATAGAGGGAAGAAGTGGATAGAAGTGTCTGCTTACTCACATTTTCATGCTTAAAGCGGGTTAATATTTTTATTTCTCTCAATGTACGCTGACAATAGGTTTGATGCTCGAAAGGTGAAATCTTTTTTATAGCAACTTTGATATTTGTTAATGTATCCAGCGCCGATCTGTATGTATATAACAAACAAAAAATATGTGAGACCAAAAACTTATATATATATATTCAAAACGAAAGTAAACAAATTATGCAAATATATGCTGTCAAGATGGGCCTGTTGAACTCGATAAAACACAGTTTTTTTTACTTTTTGCATTAGCCACACCCTGTGTCTTCGAAGGGATTTTGAGTATGAGGTTAGCAAAATGAAGAAAAGTATCTAGGTAACTGTTACTGATGTTCATACTTACACTACCATACCATAGGCACCTTCGCCAATGTAAGTCAAATCCCTATAGCGTGGTCCAACTTCAAATACTTGTCCGCGTATGACTTCCGCATTCGGATTAGAAGTTGTATTTACAGCAGTCGCCGCTGCACCACTATTGGCATTGCCAGGGGCTGCCGCTGCAGTCGCGTTATTTCCAGCCGGAACTGCACCATTGCTTCCACCAATTGGACCAATGCTGGACTGTGTGCCACTTGCCGCCTCTGCCATAGACGCGCTTGTTCCGGTGCGTTGTTTTATTAAACGAGCGTAAAATTCACAAAAATTATGCGACGCAGCGCGTTATTATACGTATGTATACGCACAAATATGTGTATTGAAAAAATGTCAGGCAAAATTCGTCACACCAGTTGGCAGGTTCGAGTAGATTTTCTTAACATACTTCATTATGCCATCATTTATCCACCATACGCTTAGAAAAACATTCGTAAGCAGAGTTGATTTATCACAAAATGTGTTCGGGCAAAATATGTATCACGTTTTTTTTATACAATCTGGATTACGGTACGAACACATGATGTTAGACAGAATTTCAAAAAAGTTCTTGAAACAAATAAGGAGATTACATACAACATTGGTTGGGTTTCGCAACATTTTCCATTTCAACTATTTTGTATGACATATTTAAGTCATATTTTAAGCCTTTTGGACCCTTCCCTCTCTTAATGTATACTACATAACTGTATATCTTTTGAGTTATCATTCGTCCAAAGATGTCTAGACACAAAACTCTCTATTTCGTGTGATCGCTCAAAAATCCGTATTTTTTTGTACCTTTTCTGAACAGTGCCACTGGGAAGAAAAATGACTTCTTTTGATTTTTAGGTATATTTTGGGTATTTACAAACAACGACGTCTTTAATTAAAATTTCACTAAAATACTTCATTAAGAAACAAACAAATATTTAATTATATTAAATCTTAATAATAAAATTACAATAATTTCCTCAATATTTATTGTTGTGATACGGGGTTTTTATTGTTTTCTACTATATTTATAAAAAATATTTTACTAAGTACAAGCTTTTTACTTATATTGAAGAGAACGTATATGAAAAAGAAGCGCCAGGAGGGTCTCGTTAAATGGCTTTTTGTGACAGAGCTTAAATTGAAGGATCGGTCCCAGGAGTTTGTGTTTTGACATCATGCGATAAGTTGAAGCAAATATCGTATATTGTGTGTAAGTTTCCCTGTGAACGTGGTATAATTCGTTTCCACGCAAGAAGAATTTTAACGCCGTCCGCTGGATAAAAAAATTGCCTCTCAATTGTTTGAAACAGCTGTTTTCTGACCTTACTCATCAATGACGTGAGTTTTCTGTTTTTATTATATTATGCCTGTGATAAGGTAAATAAAACAACAATTTAGTAAGTAATGTAATGAGTAAACAAGATTTGTTCATTTTGTAAAAACAAGCAGTGTATATATTGTGGAATAAATCAAAGTGAGTAAAACATAAGAAACAAATTCAAATATCTACAGCAAAAATCAAAATAGAATTTCCATTTTCATATCAACATATTAGAATTTAACTGATATCATTTATAGTACTTTTTATATGCCCATCCCACTATTTCTTCATTTTCGACTGATTTCGTTTTCTCCTTTTTATTTTGATTTGAAAAAATTTCAATTTTAGTTGTATTCCAGTTAACTTAGTGAATTTAACTAAAAATATTAAAAAGTATATACAATGGATTCAAAGACACAGACCTACTCTAAGTATGCCATCCTCACACGTACAACTGAGCTTCGAATGCACGCGTCCGCGGAAGTGCCCTGTGATCGTTCTTCCGAAGCACAAACGTTCACCATGGTGGGTGGAACGCTCATTAAAATGTTTCAGACACAAGCGCCTGTGGAAGTGGCAGGCAATAAAAAACTGAGTACAGTACAAATACTTGATTTAGTATACCACAAGCCGATGTATGAAAACCTATATGAATGTTCTCAGGATAATTTAATGAGGGTAAATGAAGCGTTATGGCCGTATGTAATTGGTATTGAAGAACCAGAGCGACGCTTGCAGCTTGTAAAGAAAATTGAACATTGTAAGTGGATAATCTATTTAAAAGTACACGATCTAGTGCGAGTTTGTGGTGCGCCATTTGGCAAGAAATCAACTTTTTATGACTGCATTATACGATATATTGGGCCTGTTGCTGAAATTCATCCTGTTGGCTATTTCTTTGGGCTGGAGTTGCTGGTATGAAATGAATCAATATTAAATTGTGTGGAGTGTTAAACTCAAACAATAAATGTGTTATAGGATATTAATATAAATGATCTCTTACCATGGTACATGTGGGCTTTTCTTTCAAACGTTTTAGCTGTTGCAAATTAGATAGTAAATTATAATAAAAATATTATTTAATCAAATTTTTCGTAAAGTATACTAGAATTAAATTTTAATTTAGTATAGTCAATATATTTTGCCAAGTGATGTTAACTTGAGTAATTGGAATCCAATTTATATACATACGTGTATACACACATACATCTGTTACTAAACTAACAAAAAATATATTTTTTATTATTTTTAAAATTTTAGCATTTAGATAGTGGTTTCTCCCCACAGTCTGAGGTCTTACCTTTCTCAATTCAATATATGAATTGCGATCCAACACTTGCGATATTCACAACAGCTGATAATCTTCTGCAATTACCAAGCGAAGTCAAGAAAAAGTTTTCTGTACAAGGATTTATCGGTGATACATTAACTAAAGTCCGAACCGCTATAGTACCCTCTACTTGTGCTAACGGCAGTGGTGGCAGCGACAGTAACACAAACTCATTGCGTAGGAAAAAGAAGCCAAAGAAGAAAGAACCAACATCACAATTTTACGACATTCCAACGTCTGAAAGTTCAAGTTTAGACTTAAAAAGTGCACCCGAAGTCAGGCAAGACTTCGAAATGGAACGTGACAGCAGTAAATTGAAGAACTCCGATGAATTGGACAACAATACACAAATTATATCCCTAGGAGATGAGGACTACAAACAAGCTATTGAGAATTATGAACGTAATGTGGAAAGACAAAGAGGTACTACGCCAGTATCTGCCACTATGCCTGTCCCTCCCGGAATTTTAAAGCATCGGCCTACTCAGGCTATTGTTAGTGGTGTGGAAAGTGGTAGTCATAAGGAAGTAGTTGGTGGCGGAGAAACTACCAAACGCCCATTAAATCTAATGAGTATGGAAAACCGAGACATTATTGTTATCGACCCAGCAGATATACGTGAGTCCACTAAGAACGAATCAAATGTTATTGTGGTGGATAAAAATGTGCAAAAAGATGTTGACTTAGCCGAATTATTAGGCAATAATTGGCCAAGTAATGCAGGTGGGGCTGCAAGTATACTTAATAATAAACCATCAATAAAACAACATGCTAGCGGTACGGGAATAATTGAGACAACTCAAACCAAAAGTGCACGAAATAAATCGCCAAATCCTATAACACATTTTGGTGGTGTTAAATCAGCCGGAAGTGCTGTTATGGATGGATTCATTGGTGGGGATGCAGCTGGTGATGCTATGGGAGGTAAAAGTATGTATTTAATACAATTCTCTGTTAAATTGTAACATTTTCTTACACCTGAACACTCACATTTTCCATGGCACCCGAAAGAAGATTTATGAGACGAAAGCATTTATTAATTACTTGTTAAATAAGAAATGCCGATCTTACAAAAACACTTCTCAAAAACTGTATATTAAAGTATTTTATGTTGAAATTTGACAGGAATGAAAGATACACTGTAGTTACAAAGAAAATGCCTTAGTATATTTAGAACTGATTTTGAAAGAGTTGGTACCATCTATTTTTAGCCCAAAACATGTGTTTAGTGATGTGGTAATTTTTGAAATGGCACGAAATTTTCGGCGTATTGACATGAATCATTTTCGAAAGTTTTTATTTAGTTACTAATTTGTTTTCTATTTTATATTTTTAAATTATTAACTTTAGTTACATTATGTTGTTTAATTTAACTTATTTTTATATTTTTTTTTAATTGTGGTTTCCTTTATTTTATTTTGTTTATTTTAATTTATTTTAAGTTGTTTCATATTACTTTATTTTTTATTTTATTTCAGTTTAATTTTATTTATTTTATATAATTTTATTTAGAAAAAAAAATATTGTTTACTGTTTAATTTGCTTTTATAACAAATTAATTCATTTTATTTTATTTTGCTCATTCATTTCTAATCTATTTTATTTTATTTGAATTTCAATTATTAATTTTTTTTTTATTTTATTTATTAATTGCTTTCATTTCATTTTGTTTTTTTTTTAATATTCTTTTATATTATTTTTTTATATTATATATTTTGTTATTGTTTTGTAACAGCCAAGCTCTTTCTCCAATTTGTAGTTTTGCGTCTTGATGTTTTTAAAACAAATGGAGGGACCTTCAGTTTATACTAAGCCGCTTCCGAACGGCTGATTTTTTTTTTATGAGGATCTTTATTTCATGTCAGAAGGGGTTGACATTAACTGCCGAGGGTGTCCGAAATTAGAAAATTTGGCTCAGTTTGTTTTATTTAAATTAATTTTCTATAACTTTTGGATGTTGGTCGCACGAGGATTTGAACCCGAGCCTTCCAAATGGCAGTACGCGGATAGCGATCCACTTCCATTCCAATTCACTTTTTTATTTAATTTTTATTCGATTTATTTAAATTTAATTTAATTTTTGCTTTATTTATTTTTCTTCATTTCATTTTTATCTTATTTTTTTATAAAATTTAATATACTTTTAATTAATGTTATTTTATTTTATTCTATCTTATTAAATCATATTATTTTAATTAATTTTATTTAATTTAATTTTAGTTCTTTTGTATTCGTGTAAACTTTTCTATTTGATTTGATATTATTTTGCTCCATATTAGTAATTTCAATTTTATGTAATTTTAATTCATTTCATTTAGTGTTAATTTATTTATTTTAAATTAATTAAAATTTTTTAATTTACTTTTATTTTGTTTTCTTTTACTACGTTTTATTCTATTTAATATTATTATTTTAAACCAATTTAGTTTTATTTATATTATTTTATTTAAAATAATATAGTTTTATTTTATTTTATTTCATTTGATTTCATTTAATTTCGTTTTGAAATAATTTGGATTTTATTCTAATTAATTTTATTTTATTTCATTTCAAATTTTTTATTTAATTTTGTTTTATTATTTTATCACATTTTTATAATATTACAATTTTTTTTAATTTCATTTTTTATTATATTATTTTATTTAGTTTTTCTTTTACCTTACTTTGTTACATTTTTATTTTATTCAATTGAATTCTATTTTATTTTATGTTCGTTTTGTTTCACTTCGTTTTCTTCTATTTAATATTGTTATTTTTTATTCATTTAATTTAATTTATTAATTTTTTATTTTATATTAAATGGTATAGTTTTATTTAAATAAATTTCGTTTTTTAATAATTTAATTTTATTCTAATTAATTTTATTTTATTTAATTTCAATGCATTAATTTAAATTAATTTTATGTTATGGTTTTTTATTCCATTTATTATTAAATATTATACATTTTTACTTTGCCCTATTTTCTCTTCATTATTTCATTCTAATTAATTTTATTTTATTTAGTTTTTGTTTTATTTTACTTTGTTACATTTTTATTTTATTCAATTGAATTCTATTTTATTTTATTTATTTTATGTTTGTTTTGTTTCACTTCGTTTTCCTCTGTTTAATATTGTTATTTTTTCATTCTATTAATTTTATTTATTTTTTTTTTATTTTATATTAAATGGTATAGTTTTCTTTTATTTGATTTGATTTTATTTAATTTCGTTTTTTAATAATTTGATTTTATTCTAATTAATTTTATTTTATTCCATTTCAATGCATTAATTTAAATTAATTTTATGTTATGTTTTTTAATTCCATTTATTATTAAATATTATACATTTTTACTTTGCTCTATTTTCTCTTCATTATTTTATTTTAATTAATTTTGTTTTATTTAGTTTTTGTTTTATTTTACTTTAGTTTATTTGATTTAATTTAATTTAATTTAAATTTATTTGATTTCATTTCTTTTATATTTTAATTGGGATTCTCTTCTATTTATTCTTTGCTTGTTTTGTACTACAATTTTTTTTTTGAAATTTATTTTTCATCACTGCGAAACCATTCGTTGTCTCCGAATATTTATGCGGCTACACATCCGAATACCACTTCGAAACGCACATCTTTACACGTTACTCTGACAGACATATTTATGTTCATTCTAATATTGTACATCATTTGTTTTTAGTTTGCTGCGTATAAATAGTTTGTTGGTTGTAGACGAAAGTGTTTACAATTTAGATTTTTCAGTTAAAATATACAAAGATTTGTTGATTTTTCAAGCAAATATGGAAGCGCAAAGTGTTAGTTCGTTAACTCCGAGTGACTCCTCACTTTATAATAATATACCTTTAACGGTTTTGGAACTATATGCATCTGGGCCAAGTGGGTCATATAACTTTTCGCCGAATGTCTCACCAGGTTCAATGATCTATCTAATTCTATCTTGTATTTACATACCTATATATATATCTTTGATTGAAGTGCATTTATTTATAACTTACAGTGTAGAGTTTAGAGTGTAAATTTTTAAATACACATGAATTTTCTAATTTCTTTCACATTGCTTCTATTGTGTAGAATATGCAAATTCGCGAGATTCACCGGTTTACGATAATTTGGTTGACATTGACGCACCGGCGCCGAGCGAAGCTGATTTGATAAAGTATACGCCTTTGCAAGACATACCAGATTCTGCTTTAGGTTTGGGCTCTATGGTTGAGGTTTCCATTCCGGAGGCATCGGAGAACTTTTACGGTGTTATTCGTTGGATTGGTATAGCTCAAGGTCGTAAGCAAATTATGGTTGGTGTGGAGCTGGAAGAGGATCAGGATGATCGTACATTGCCGACTACAAATGGCATTTACAAAGGCGTACGGTGGGTGTAGCAAAGTTATTAATTATAAAATTTAACACTTTAATTAACGTTTTTCTTTTTCAATTTTACAGTTATTTTAAATGTCACGATGGCCGCGCACTCTTTGTCACTTCGGATCGTTGCTGCACAGATAGACGTTTTATTGAGCTAGATGGCAAGGCCATAGCAAATATACCAACAGATTCAAAAATGTTTGGACAGGTGGAATGTCCACCTGTTCCCGGCGCCGTTGCACCGTTGAGTAAGTTTATAATATAGAGGGAAGAGGATCGTTATGTTCATTTGATTTTTTTTTTTAAGAAATAAAAAGTCTTGAGGAATTGGAGGATAATTGTGGCAAATTTAAAGGCATACAAGGCCACCATAATTCCTGTTATCTGGATGCAACACTGTTTTCGATGTTCACATTTACTTCAGTCTTCGATTCGTTACTTTTCCGACCACAAGAGCCAGATGTAAATACTTAACTAAAGTGAAAATTATTTAAATATTATAATAACAAAAACTTTTTTTTATATCATAGGATATAACTAACTACACCGAGGTACAAAAAGTTTTACGTGAAGAGATTGTGAATCCGCTGCGTAAAAATGTTTTCGTGCGTGCTGATCGTGTCATGAAATTACGCCAATTGCTGGATAAATTGAGTTCTGTTAGTGGACTGACCAGTGAAGAAAAAGATCCGGAAGAGTTTTTAAACAGTTTATTGGCGCAAATAATGCGCGTGGAGCCATTTCTGAAGGTATACATACCAATAGATTTTTTAATTCATTCATTCAATTTAAATCAGCGTACCTTTCAAATTTCAGTTGAGTTCCGGTCAGGATGCTTATTTCTATCAATTGTTCGTCGAGAAAGACGAGCGCTTGTGTTTTCCAACCGTGCAGCAATTATTCGAACAAAGCTTTCATTCATCCAATATTAAATTGAAAGAAGTGCCATCATGCTTGATTATACAAATGCCACGGTTTGGTAAAAATTTCAAAATGTATCCAAGAATTCTGCCCTCGCAGCTACTGGATGTCACTGATATCATTGAAGATTGTAAGTATTAGCGTTAAATGTGAATTTGAATTGATAATCCAATAATTTGTCTTTCTAATAAGCTCCCCGCCAATGTTCTGTTTGTGGCAAATTAGCCGAGTTTGAATGTCGCGATTGCTATGGTGTTCTGCAGGGCGGTGTTGGGCTAGAAAGTACGGCATTTTGCCATAAATGTAGCGAGACTGTGCATATGCATGCAAGAAGGTAAGCCATTTGTCCTTCACACTTATTTTAGATTTATACACAATTACATATCCAACCATTCAATATTCTATTTCTATAGAACAAATCATACACCAAAACAATTGTCTGTACCGCAAGACTTTCGCATAATGGCCGATCAATTGACTGTGCCGCGTTTGTATATGGAATTATTTGCGGTTGTTTGTATAGAGACTTCACATTATGTTGCATTTGTTAAAGCCGGTTCCGGACCAGATGCGCCTTGGTGTTTCTTCGATTCCATGGCTGATCGCAAGGGTAATTAATTTACATACATATACATACATATACAAATATTTTTTATTGAATTTCCAAAACATTTTAGGTGAAAAGAATGGTTACAATATACCGGAAATGATAACTGTGCCGGAACTACCACTCTGGCTGTCAGAGGAGGGCGCCCGTGTGGTTAATGAGACATCAACAAATGACAAAATGCTACCGGAACATGCGAAGCGACTATTTTGTGATGCTTATATGTGCATGTATCAGAGCACAGATGTGATGATGTATCGCTAATGTTGATAGTACAAGCGTGAGAGCGAGAGAGAGTAACAATAGACAAAGCTTTACTTCTTTAACACATAACATATATATGTATATATTTATATATATATATATATATGCATAAGTTTTTCGAGTGCATATGATGCATATAAATAACGTATAGTTTTCCATGACCTTAACGAAAAACATTATTATTCACTTAATTCATATTAAACAGTTTAAAAAAGGAACTCAGTTTACACACATGTTCACATATTCATATATCTCATATCTATTTACACATTATAACAATATAATATAAAATAAAATTAATAGAATTCCAAAGGGATTTTCGCGTTATATTTATTTAAGTATTTATGTAATTTTCAAGTGTATGATTCGTAAACGCATTGCGCATTGTTCTGGTTGTTGTAGTGGTTCTCCAAACCCCGACTAGTTTCGAGTCACCGGGGTGTCACCTAATGGAAATGGTCCATGAGAATGTCAGTGTGGACTTAACGCGCTCTTAGGCTCAACACTGCCGCCACACAAACTACAATAACTAACAAATTAGTGGAAAAGAAATTTATAGAAAAAAATTAAGTAGGTCATCGAGGCGATTAAGGCATTCAAATCCAGCCATCGACCTTGACGGCATCATATCATTTTAGATGAAGAAAAATAATAAGTTTTAGTCGCCAATTTTTTTTACTTTTTCGGTTGCGAATAGATATCATCATGGGCACTCGTACGACAAGTCTTGAAGCTCTGCTAAACGAATGCCTCTTAATACCTACCTCCTAATATTTACTTTTTTTAATATTTGAGTGTCGAAAAACCAATATGAGAGGAAAGAATGGGAAGGTTTGTACGTACAGCAACCTCCTGAATAGATCCTCGTTTGGCTCTCTTTACCAAGGATAATAAATATGTATAACTACGTAAAGGAAAGCCACGCTCAACCATGTCTCTATCAATGGCTGTAATTCTACTTTATCCTCTGCAAGAAACGCTAAAGCTGATGGAAAGCACCGATGGAAGTCCAAAATCAGGAGACCTGCAAGATCGTTTCTCTGAAGATATCGGTGGCACTTAGACGATATTACTTCTAAAGTGTTGTTAGACATGCTAGTACACTCTTTTTTTCTAGAGCGAAATAGTGCCCGTCCCCTTTAATAGGCCCCCCACCAGCTTGGAATCCGTTTTCTTTACCGCAAGGGAAAACTTTGCAAGTTTACCATCATATGTTTTGCAGCTAGTCTAGGGTTGTAGAAACTGGTGGAAAAAAGGAAATTATATATTTTTATTAGGAGTTACTTGAATGATTTGATTTAAAAAGCATTGTTCGAAAATTGTGGAAATTGGACGAATTATATTCCGAAAGGTTTTGCGAAAAAAATTATAATGCTCAGTATTTTAGCTTCATAAGTACCCTAAATGACGAATCGATGGTACAAAGCTAGCTCTATGAGATATTTGAGGACAGTCTATCTGATTAACCGAACCCTGGTTCGGTCCTTCCGGCCGGATGGATGAGAACACTTCGGTTTTCATGCTGGTGTAGGCAGAAGAAAACGAAGACCCGTCGTACAGCAAAGAGCAGAGTTGAGTTGGTGACGCCTATAACAGGTTACAAGGTGCTTAAATGATTATTTTCTTGTAATAAAAATAAATTTTTTAAATACAATTATTTATAAAATTTGTTTATAATCGGCTGGTAAATGCTTTTTTTTATAATATTTTAGCTCCATTACAAAGTCACTGCATCAATCGCAAGGTAACAGCTAAGTCCACCAATGAATATGAAAAAATGTTACTCATACGCACTGTGGTCAAACGGCAGAGGTCTACATAGTAATTGCCTTGTGTTAGAACTTCTTTTCGCATGTAACTGAGTAACTGAATTATGGTTTCTGGTGATGTCTGGTGCTTGAAGGACACAACATTTCTTAGCGTCACATAGTCTACGAGCACCAGTTAACAGTACAAAAGACTACTCAAACAAATGGCGTTGACAGAGTGAGAGAGTTAAAATGGAGAATAAAATATTGAAATATGATGCGCGAAAACAGATGTTTGAAAGCTTCCGCTAACAGTGAGTTTGGGTTTTAAAGTGAGAGCAGATAGAGAGAGAGAGAGAGAGGGAGAGAGTTAGCAGTACAAGTATACGAATATATGAATTTTGAAAATACCTTTTGAGTTCAAAGTAGAAGAAAAGGAAAAACGGCAGGTTAACTTGGGAGTATAGTTGCATTGAATATTTATTACAGAAAGTGAAGTTTATTATAAAAAACCTTATGGAATGCCAGCGTTTTTTTAAGAAAAAAAACTTGTACAATAGTTTTATTAAAGGAGTTAAGACATTTTCCCATCTTCTTAGCCGGTTTGACGGCCAAGATTGAATAAAGCTAAATATCGATCGTAACAAATGGTAGTCAGATGCGGTAAGGTCCGGGATCTGGACTTCAATATAAAGCCTTGAGAGAATTTGATAAATTAAATTAAATCGTGAAAACAAGATTTGACACGTTCGCTCGGGCACATAACTTTCGGCAGCGGTTTTTTGGTTGGAACAAGTTGCAGGTTACATTAAGATCTTAAAAAATTTTCATAATTAGTGAAGCTTGTCATTCGCTTATATGTTTGCTGCATGATGATAATTTGACGGGGACGTTTGGCTCCTGCCCCATTAATTACGGTTAGAAGCGAGCTAATCCTAAAAGCGTGCTTATAAAAAATTTAAGAAATATTGCATCAAAATTTTTAGCTTTGAAAATTAATATCTTTCAGAAGGGCAGCTCTGAATTTTATTTCAAATAAATAAAAAATTAATAAAAATTATAAATAAATTAATAAATAAATGAATGAATAAATAAAACAAAATAAATAAGTAAATTAATGAATAAATAATTATGTACACAATAAAATAAATAATGAAATAAGTAAATAAATAATTGAATAAAATAATTAAATAAAAAATTTAACAAATAAATTAAATAAGTGAAAAAATAAATAAATAAAATAAGTAAATGTTATAAATAAATGAAGATGTACGCAAATAAATGAGTGGAATTCATAAAAAAATTAATAAATAAAAGGAAAAAGTAAATAAACTAATAATTAAACAAATAAAAAGTAACTGTAAATAAATAAATATAAAATACAAAAATTAAATTAATAGAATAAATATTTCAGTAAGTAAATGAATAAATAACTTAAATAAATTTATTAAATAATTAAATAAAATAACTAAATAAACAAGTCAATCAAATAGACAAATAATTATATAAACAAATAAATGATATATGTAATAAGGAAAAAATGTAATAACTAAAATAAAAAAATTGATAACTAAAATAAACAGTTAACAATATAAATAAATAAATAAAATAAAAAAATAAATAAATAAGCAGATAAATATATTATTAGGTAAATTAGAGTAATTAAATATATATATATGAATAAAGAGTTTAATAAAAAGATATAATCAATAAAGAATTAAGTAAATAATAAAAATGCATGAATAAATAAATAAAATATACAAAAAAGTAATTAAATAAATTTATGTATGTAATTAATGAAAAGGTAAATAACTAAATAATTACAGAAATAAATAAATAATTGAATAAATAAAAAAAAATTAATAGATTAGATAAGTAAGTAAATAATTAAATGAATAAATAACAAAATAAAAAGTAAAATAAATAAATAAAATAAAATAAATAAATAAACAACTACATAAAAAACTTAATAAATAAAATAAATTAATAGATAAATATCTATAATAAGTAAAAAAAAAAATAATGAATAAATAAAACAATAAAAAAATAAATAAAAAAATAAATAAATAGATAAATAAATAAATAAATAAATAAATAAATAAATAAATAAATAAAAAATAGTGAATAAATAAATAAATAAATAAATCAATTAATTAATTAATAAATAAAAAATAATAAATTAAAAAAATTAATAATTGATTAAAAGAAATATTTTTTAAGTAACGAAACACCCTTTTAAAATATATAGTAAATCAAAAAATAAATAAATAAATATATAAATAAAAAATATTAAATTAAAAAAAATAATAATTGATTAAAAGAAATATTTTTTTAGTAACAAACCACCTAAATACATAGATAAATATCTATAATAAATAAAAAAAAAAATAGTGAATAAATAAATAAATAAATAAATAAATAAATAAATAAATAAATATATTAATTAATTGTTTAATAAATAAATAAAAAATATTAAATTAAAAAAATTAATAATTGATTAAAAGAAATATTTTTTAAGTAACGAACCACCCTTTTATAATATATAGTAAATCAAAAAACAAATAAATAAATAAATAGCTAAACAAATAAATAGATAAACAGATAAATAAAAAATATTACAAAAAAATAGGTAAAATAATAAATAATAAAGTAAAAAAATTTAACAAATAAAAAATTGGCAAAAAAATAAATAGCACAAAATTAATAAATATAGGACAAAAAGAAATTAATATGTACATATGAAAGTACATTACATTACATATATATTATATATACATATATATTACATATACAATTTAACTGAATTTGGAACTAATGTGTTGTTCAATTTATTAAAAATATAGGAATATTTTCAATTGAATTGGCAACTAACTTATAAAAAAAGGAAAATATTGAAGTAAGTTAAATATCGTAAATTCTTAATTTTGAAAGTTTAAATATAGAGGAGATCTATGAAAAAGATTACAATAAATTTACATACTATGTATGATTTATGTCAAAAAAATTTACAAAATTTATGTTTGAAATAATATAACAAAGAAATGTAAAAAAAAAATTGAAAATACCTTCAAACAAAAAAAGAAAGAACCCAAATTATTATCGCTCTATAAGCAAAAATGAGATGATGTATGTATGCATGTATGTTTATTATGCATATAAGTGGCTTGCACCTGGCGGTTTTGTCAAAATTAAGGGCATTGTACACGCCTAACTGAATATGTGATTAACATATACATACGTATATTCAAAATTTATACATATACACTTGCTCATCTCAAATTTTAGCATACCTCAAATGCTATGGCTTCAAAGTGTTTTTCCTCTCCAACTTAACATTCTTCATTATCCTTACTTTACCGTTTGTGTGCAGTGGAGTGCTGATAACGATGTCATTAAGTGAGCATAAAAAAAGTTGTTTGCATTTTCTACCACTTTTTTCTTGAATTTACTTCACATTCATATGATATGCGCGCACATGGTCCATTTGCTTAGAAGTTACTGCGAGTATCAACTGCAAACAATGCTATTTTCATTTAACATTCACATAATAGTTGCTGTTGTTGTTATG